ATATATATATATATTTATGTTTATATCTATAAATATATATATATATATATATATATATATATTTATGTTTATATCTATATATATATATATATATATATATATTTATTTATTTATTTATTTATTTTTATTTATTTATTTAGTTATCATGCATAATACTGATAAGGATCAAAATATCGTCGTTTGTCAAGTCATGCATGGAAGAAGGCATTCACTACCTCGACCCTGGGGTCTTGGCCTGTGCGATCCATTTCTCATACTCCGGCGCCGCCTGGGTCTGTCGCTCCACCTGGTGTGTAGAGTGTCAAGGGGGATCAAAGGTCTCGGCAGACTCTGGGTGCAGGGCGTTTCAGATGTTATTGCCCGCCTCTCAGCGACTCAGCGATCCCAGGACCGGCCATGAAAAGCGAAAAATCCGCAAAGAGCCCACGCTCTGACGCCGTCGATCAGAATCCAACATACCGAAAGCAAAGCCCTCCTGTCTGCCACTCTCTCGTCAATGCTGGGCCTCTGCATCGGCCACCCTGGAAAGAAATTCAAGGCTCCCGCTTCGACAAGTGCAGTGCATTGCGCGCCCATCGGGCTGGGATTGAAGCATGTCGTGTTCAGATCTCAAAGTCTCAACTTTTCTCGGGCGTGGGCGCTCGTGGTTGCTTGGGGACACGCAGTCTGGGCCAAGGGGCACTGGAACTATCCGGTGGCAGCCAGCTCTGCACATCCTAGCAAGCCCCAAACCCAGATCAACCTCCCCTTCACGACGGTGATCCAAGAGCATAACATGTCCCGAAGGGTCCCATCCGGGAATGCATCCGACTTCTCGAAGTGATATGCGACGCAAAGGCCGGCATTGGTGGTCTCTCTGCTCCGACGCCCCAATACACAACATTAGAGTCTCATTAGAGAGCACTCGAAACAAGCCCCTTGTCTTCCAAAGGCCACAATCAGACCAACCTGCGGCCATCGCAAACCTCCAACACACCGAGAACCCTAAACCTGACTCCTCCTTGGGCCGAGAGGCTGTGCCGTTGCCTCGCAGACGCTGCCAAGCACACCCAACAGCGGCTGCATGGGAGCCTCCACTGAAGCCGTTTCAAGGGCTCCTTAACGGGACCGGGGACCCTTACAGGCTTGAGGAATGGCTTTGGATTATAGATACTTCAGCATACAGGGACTGCATAGGATTGCTCTGATGTTCTTCCGTGCATGAGGCAGAGGATGGGAGACGGATAGGCTCTCGAGGATACCGTGAGGATTCTGCAAAGGCTTTCGGTTGCCAGCGGTACCATTCGGGGCCATTCCTGAACGTCTGCCTCTTTCGGGTGCCACCGACGCCGCGCAGGTACAATGATGCCCGACCCGACTCAAAACACACCTGCCTGCACAGGGCTCCAAGCGATTCCCCAGAAGCCTAGCTGAGGCCCAACGCGAAGTCATGCACGAAACACTAAACCCAGACTTGACCTCAATTAACCGCGACATGCATGCATACCTCCATGCATACTCGCAGTCTCCTGTGTTGTTAACCAGGAAGCTCGATCACGTCTCATCGCACCAAACACCATGGCCACAACTATTTTGTGGCGGCTGCTAAAGTGACAGTCATAATGACGAATACACTTCATCACGACCACAAGCACAATCATCATGATCATCGTCGTGGTCGTCATCACTATCGCCATCATCAAAGGCTTAGTGCTGATCGGAACAACAACGGCACCGAAAACAAGCTTACACCATGATGACCTGATGCTATCAAAGTCTAAGCTCAGTGACTGGAAACAATTTAGCCAATCATCGAAACATGTCAAAAGACAAAACACAGAATTTTGAACCTCGAAATTGAGGACCTATTCCCCAAACCGTGCACCCCAAAATCTGAAACCCTAAACCTTGTAGAACCCATTGAGTAACCCTTGCTGCAAAAAACAACCCTCATTCTAACCCTTAACCCTTCTAGCACCTAGAACCCATTTTTAACCTTTCTAGCACCCTTATTAACCCTGACACAACCCCCCTATAGATCCCTCAAGACCCCAAAACCTGCTTCTTCCCAAATTCCGGGGCTCCCCACCATGGCTCCCACACGGAGGCCGGGGTCTCCACTTCAGAGCCGCACGGCTCCCAGGGCACCCGACGAGGCTTCTGATGGGTCTTGTTTTTTTTTTGCGGGCTGTAACTGAAAGACGATCTAAACACTCCCATCCATGAACCTGTGGATTTTTAGGGCGTGAATCGCTTCATTGTGGCTCATGATTCGGGACCCACCAGGGCATCTCTCTTTTCCTCTATGGGCTCAGGATGCCTGCTCCCTACCTTATGGCAGGCTTTGCCGGGCTTGGCTCGTCTGTGCCCAGTCGAACCTCTGATTCCAAACACTCCCTTTTGTGAAAATCCTGCTGCTACTTCCTAAGTCCACTGACACTAGTAAGCACGCAGCGGGGCAAGAGCGGTTTTGGGCGGCAGGAGGAGCAGTTCACTGCTGAGGAAATGTAGAGAAGTCCTCAGGTCTTGTGACAGAGTCCTGCGCAGGTGGAGCTCGGGTCGAACCAGGAACAGAAGGTTGCACCGTCTCGAGACAGCATGCAAACGGGTGGTGCAGTTCTGCAGCACGTGCACCTGCAGGTGCCAGGAAGAGCCGAGACTCGAGTTTTGCATCCTCGTCGCACAAATGCCAGGAGGTCTCTGAAACGGAGCCTTTGAGGCATGTTTTAGCCATTGGCCCTTGCCGACAGGTGTCCTACAATGTCCTACAGTCCTACATGACAAGCTGGGTTGAGCTTGTTGCGCTGTGCCCCGAGCTCGCGCCACGGTGATGAGAAGCAGAGCTACAGGCTAGGGGACCTGCGACTCCTTCTGACAAGTGCACGCTGGGACGGCCTTGCGGCTTCGTCCCCGGTGCTCGAACTGGGCCCAAAAATGCCCGCCTTTTGGGGGCCTAGTCTTACTGGGTTCGGTATGCTGGTTTGGGATTTGGGGGCCCTTGGGGCGTCTGTCATGCCGGAGTGCCTGCGACAAGTATAGTACAGGCCGCTTGCTTTCTTGGAAAGCTCGGAGACGCCGCAGACGAACATGACAGGAATACGCCGCGGTGTCGTCGGTTGGAGCCGATGAGAGAGCAGCCCAAAGAAGCCATGCAAAACCAGAGGGCACTGCATAAGCCTGGTAGGGTTCGCGTCTATGTGAGCGAGCTCAACCAGATGAGGGCTGCACCTCATGCCTTAATTACACCAGGCGGCAGTATCTCGTGTGAATGAAACGGTCAAGAAAAACGTGGCTTCGCCATGCAGCTGCCGTGACGTTAACAAGTGCCGCAAATCCCAGTGCTGGATGCAGTCTGATGCACTAGGCTGTTCACTTCGCTGATACATTGTGATGGCAGCTGCTCCGGCGTCGGCTCCGGGGAGTGCTTTTCCAGTTTTGGAGAAGGCACAGCGCCTCCTACTGATTTCAACGGGTGCTCAACAGAAGGTACTTCTTCAGCCGGCCTGCGCATTTCACTCGGAAACCCATCTGTTGTCTCTCGGTCATAGAAAAGCTTCGCCCATAACACCCCTCGTGTCACTAATCCTTTCACCGTATGGCCAACCTGCCCTCGACTTGTAAAATGTGTGTGTGTGTGTAAGCACGTATGTACATATGTATGGAGTGTGTGTGTGTGTGTGCATCTGTATGTATGTACATATGTACATATGTACAGATGTACACTTATACATACATATACGCACATAACTACATCAACACATACACACACACACACGTACACACACATATATATATATATATGCATATATACACATATACACATATATATACATACATACATACATACATACATACATACATACACACACACATACATACATACATACATACATACATACATACATACAGAGACAAACAGAGCGAGGGAGAGAGAGAGAGAGATGGATAGATAGACAGAGAGAGAGAGAGAGAGAGAAATCACCTCCCGCCCGGCAAAGAGATGGGCACGCGCGTCAGACAGAGAGCCAGCAAGGCAGAGGCAGCGGCAGGAAGAAACATGGTAGCGTAAATAAATTGCCCACCCGAGCAAGTGTGATTTGGATGGGTGAGGTGGCGCAGCGATACTCTGCGGAGTAGGATGGCGCAAACTGTCGGAGTCGGAAATGTTGTTCTGCTCAACTTCCGGAATCCGTAGCGCTCCAAACAACGCCGTGACATGCTACGCTTCAGCATGGCCAGTGCAACTCCACTGAAGAGAGAGAGAGAGAGAGATATATATATATATACATATATATATATGTGCATCATATGTGAGTGTGTACACATATGTGGGTGTATGCGTGCATATACATATACAACTTAATGATTTAATTCAACAGTTAATTAGTTCATTAACTAACTAACTACTGACTAAATAACTAACTAAGTACATAACTGACTAACCAACGAACTAACTGACTAACTAACTCACTCACTCATTGACTGATTGACTGACTAACTAATTAACTAAGTAACTAAGTAACTAGGTAACTAACGAACTAACTAACTAACTCACTATCTAACTAACTAACTACATAACTGACTAACCAACGAACTAGCTGACTGAGTAACTAGATAACTAAGCATCAATTAGTCGGTTACTTCATTGTTCAATCTAACTAACCAAGAAAGTGTGTATGAATGTATGTGTGTGTATGCACATATACACATATGTGCTTACCCATATACGCTACATACATACACACTTACGTACGTGCATACGCATACATACATGCATACATATACGGATGAATACATACATACATACATACATACATACATACCTACATACATACATACATACATAAGTAAATACGCATACATGCATACATACATACATACATACATACATACTTGCACACATACATACAAAGAGAAACAGATGTGTATATATATACACACATACACTCGTACATGGGTGCACACATACATATGGGCATACATACATACAGACAGACAGACAGACATACATGCTTTATACTTTTTATAAGATAGACATCTTAAAAATTATGTATTATGTATTACAGCTTAAACACTAACTTTTGAAACTGTTTATTTTCTATGGTATTCTATTCTCTAATACCAAATATTACATATTATACAATGTAGTTTGTGCATTGTATCTTAAATATCAAACTATCATTCGTACCATATTATATATATATATCCCAAATGTTATGCTACATGTATATATACATATATAGATACAGGCTGGAGGTCTTTGGACCAGCCCTACGTGGGATCGGCCTGGCTCGGCGCATCCTCCAACGCGGCTCGTTCCTTGAAGCCGATGCTCGGCTTCAGAGCTTTTATCTGGTTGTTAAGGTTAGGGTTTAGGGTTTTTTAGGGTTTAGGGTTTAGGGTCTTCTTAGAAAGCTTCTTGAGAAACACATTGCCTTGGTGGTACATTTGCAGCCTGACAGCATATAAACACAGAGGCGTACGAGGAGCATCTACTACAAGGCTTTGGCAGAGAATTCGGACGGGGTGGCGGCTGTTGGTCGATGATTCTCTAAGAGGGTCGGGAATGATCTGCTTAGGGCCCAAGCTTGGTCTCACCGCAGCCATGGCCTAGAGACATGTGCTCAAACTCGAACCTGAGCCCTACATGGAAAGAAAACTTAGAACCAAACCTCTCAACCTAGCTAGACCGAACAGATCATCTCAAGAGCGGTCAGTGTGTTCCACTGCCTCCCCTCATGCCCCACGGAACTTCAAGAGGCCAAGTAGCAAGTGCCTGCTTGGGCTTCCAGCTGGAGCCTGGCGGCTTCGAGTGCTTCGGCCGTAAGTAAAGGCCGAGTAGCCTACATAGGGGCCTTAAAAAGTAGAACAGGCTTTGGGGGTAGATTAGTCTATAGCTTTGACAAGGAACCCCAAAAAAGCCGATTCCAAATCATTGAGGCCCCGACATTACTCCAACTCCAAACCCTAAAGCCTAAACCCTAAGCACTCCAACTTGAGAGCTTCAGGCGTCTGCGTTCGCTTCGCTTCTGCTTGGGCTTCGACTCTCACAGCCTGGGCAATCCGGGCGAGACACCTGGGTTCGATGTGGGCTGTAGACGTCCACTTTGGGCAGTTTCTGTACGAGAGATATCACGTACAGAGAGGAGACGAAGTGTGAACATGCTCTGCAGTTGCTATCTTCGGACTTTTTTGGTTCGACAGTGTGACCTGTTGCCCAGCACCTAGCCCAAACCCATCTTAACGGAAGGCATGGATCGGGCACAAAAGACCCGTGATAGCTGCTACAAGACTGTGCGACAATCTATCTCTCCAGGCCTTCAGCCCACGGGAAGGGACCCCTCGGGGGCGGGCGCTTGTCGCTGGGCGTCTGCAAGAGCAGAGCATGCTCCTCGACCTTTGTGACTTTGTTAGGCTTCAGACTTCACAGACTCACAGACGACTGAAAACTGCTTATCGCCGTTGTCACAAGGGATGCATGTGCTGAAGCTACCAAGGCCTACTTCACCCAAAGCCTGTCGGTGCATCTGAGGCTCCTTGGTGTTGAAGGTCTTGCGAATCAAGCTTCTCGCCACGTCATAACAGCCTGCCACGAGCAGAAGGTACCGAAGAGCAAACCGGCATCATAGACCCAACCAATCTGACTACTGTGGCCGTGAAAAATACGGCCGCTGAGCCTTGTCGACGTCTGCAACAACTCCGCGGCGTTCGCAGAAGTCAGATGCCGAAACTGCCCTAAGAAACTTCTCTGATGGCTGGCAGCCTGGATCGAGGCCCTTTGGAGCCACCTTCGGCATCGGCAGCCCACGCGCCTGAAAGCCGATGATCGCAACGCTCTGATTTCTAAACTTGCGCCTGGCCCCCGCTCCCCGAACCCGAAACCGAAACCACGTTTGGACACCGGCTTCGGTAAGACATCTCCAAAGCCATCAGTAGTTCTAGCAGCAAAAAGTAGTAGTCGTCGTCGTTGTCGTGACAGAAGCAGGAGGTGTCGGAGAGCGCGGCATTCATGCACCGGTGTCTTGGGAACCGAGAGCTAACGGTTCTCTGGAGTTTCCAAGCTTTGAGGGCCTTTTTGTTGCACTGCCTCAGCTCTGGACTCAGTATTTACACTCCCACAACTCGGACAAGCCAGTAGGGCTTTTTTTGAACGACCCTTTTTCCATCCTACTAGAGTCTGAAAAGTGGTAATTCCACTGGGCGTTTGGAGACCGACGCCAGTAGGGTTTAGGGTTTAGGCATCATATAGACTTGACTAGCCTCGGACCGGGTAATTACCTGGCATGTTCGGTGTTTCGTGCAGCTTGCCAGCGTCGGAACGGGCATCCAAGTGTTTCTAGGTTTGGCGAAAGGGGTTTGCCCGATTTGAACGCGTCCCCAAGCCTGCACGACCTTCGCAACAACCGTTTCGTGCACCGTCTTAGCTCTCGGTGTGCACTTTGCGCACGCTGGCCGTTGTGACTATGGTGATGATGATTATGATGATGATGATGATGATGGTGATGATGATCCGACTTCAAACGAAGCCCTGCAGTAGCCGCAACCCCTCCGCCCTCTCTACACACACACACACACAATCCAAGCCCATGTTGAACAACTGTAACAGTACTGCCAGGTGTGTGGGTTCTTCACGCTTGTGCCAGCGAACACCCCTCAACAGCAGGTCTTGTGAACATGCTACCTTCAAACCGGAAGGATAGAGGGGCCTTAATAATTGGAATAGGTTTTGGGTTTTGGGTGTATACTATACTACAATTGTGCTACGGAGTCCCAAAGTAAAAGTAGGCTTGGTACTTGCTGAGGCCCCTATATTATCCTATATTATCCTAGCAGCCCCGGTCACCGAGCCTCCGTGGATCGAAAGGGATGGTAGCCACCTCGCACATGCAACGCAACATGAAAATGCCGTTTTTAGTCTCATGATTCGTCTTCTTATGACTATGAGTTTCTATGCATGTTATGGTGTTTTGCTTCTTGACATTTTGTCGTATGCAACTTATGTAGGTCAAAACTCCACTGACGGCAATGATGACCGCACGGTATAATCCTGATAATCTACCTGCATACATGCCCTCATCCTAAAGCAACATGCCCCATACTGTACATCCCCCGATGCACCTGACTAGTTACCACTGCCAACAGTTGCGGCCCATTCCGGAACCTTCGCTGGAAGTCAGGTCAGCCTCAAGGTTCTGCGATTCAGGAAAGATGAGCATCGAAACCCAGATAATTTCGCGTCGAAACATACCAAGATCCCTTTGAACCCCAAACCCGGAGACGCTTGTTGCTGACAGGCTCTGCCAGGAATGAAAAAAAAGATACCCCCCATCCCCAAGATCCAATGAAAACGAACCAATCCCCGAGTCGATCGGCCCCGGATGTTCTCGTGCGCCATCTCATAGGACCCCGGTGGCGGAACATCGGTCTCCCCGCCTCGGAACGAGGGTTCTGTAGCTGTACACACAGGTCGAATTTCAATAACTTCAATGCAGTGAACTCGTCGCAGAAAACCCATTAATGTCATGGTTGGCGTCACGCACTAAGTTTCGTGTTGCTTTGCGAAGGGTCAAAGGTGAGGGTTTATGATTTGGGTGCCAGTTTTAACCCAGCCTCCCCTGCCGATTTGGACCAATTTACAGCTAATTCGCAGCAGCTTCCCCCACACGTTTGCGGATTTGAGCGATGGTTCGCACGATTAGTGCCCCCCCCNNAAAAAAAAAAAAGCATCTCCCAAGCGGGGGCCTCCTTTTAACGATTGAACGACTTAGCGTCTAGTTCGCACGATCCGCAGGGGTAATTAGGATCTAATTCGCGCGAAATCAGTGGCAGCTTTCCCCACAACACCTCCGGGCTGCCAGTTTATAACCAAGCCTCCCTTGCCGATTTCAGTGGCAAGTTCCCCCACAACACCAGCCCAGCCCCAGCCCCAACTCCAGGCCTGAAGTAAAGCTGTACGTACTGGGCTGCTGAGCTTTTTTAAACCCGAAATTCATTTTGGGCCTAAGTGTCTTGATTCTGGAGTGCCTGACCTCGCTGTAATTTGTAGGAGTTCTGTAGGGTTTATGGCTAGTCTCGGCTTCCAAGAGGCACTGGTGTGTTCGGTCATGCCCGAGACAGGCACAAGGCGTGTCTACCCACTCAGAGCCGGCATGCGAAGTCGGCACCCAAACACCCCCTGAAGGCAGCCTTTCGCAGCTTAGAAGAGCTTCCGAAATCCCGGAGCTGCATGGAGGAATAGACGAGAAATAGAGCACAGCGAATCACAGCGCTCATGCAACCGAAGTAACTGGCAAACCGGGCACCGCTGCCGCCGAAACCCACGTGGTCTGTCTTCGCGATCCTGGAATGAACAAATCGCTTTGAAGCACATAGCGTCTGAGGTTGCGACACAACCCACTGCAAGGGAGCCCCATAGAGCCACACGCTTCGGTGCGATGTCTCTTCAGCGGCGATAACTTGCACTGCATGGTCGAAGGACTTTCCACGCGCCAACCGGCCAAACACCAGGAGGTCACGATTCCTGGCAGTACTGCCAACCCGAAGCCCGAAACTCTAAAGCCAAAGCCCTACACCCTTTCTGCAACAGGCCTCGTTGTCCAGCAAACCCTAAACCCTAAACCCTCGTTCCCAGCTGTGTCTTTGTTTAACGGCGTCCTCCAGCCCGTGCGGAAATCCGGATTCGTGATGGGATCGTACGCGCCGGGCCCGGGCAGCTCCTCTCAGGAATGGCCAGGGTTTAGGGTTTAGGGTTTAGCCCAGCCCCGCACTCAGCACAGGACATGGCAGCATATCTTGAGCTAGGCCTGGCCACGCGACGCGTGGGGCTCCCTTAGTCCCAGAAGAGCGTGCATCGACCCCCAACAAGGATTCTATACCCCCAAAACCCTATTTTAATTCTTGAACCCCCAAAGAACTCCGCACTCCAAGGTGAAACCCCCGAAATTGCAAGCGACCTCATGCACCCTGAACCCTAAACTCCCTAACCTTAAGCCTCCGTCCCTTAAGGATCCCATAATTATATAGGGGCCCTAAAACATTACCTATACTATTTTGGGGGCTCCATTGTTCTAAGTATAGTATAATATACCCCAAAACCCTAGTCAAATTATTAAGGCCCCCTTTTTGAGCAGGGACCCCCTAAACCCCAAATTTGTGTAGTATCCCTCATAGAACCCTTCAAGGAACCCTTTAAGAGAACCCTATTCTAATTCTTTTGGTCCCTACAGTAAGCGACGCCTCGTTGGTGGGAGCCGGAAGTCTCGGAGCCTCCAAATCAAGGCGTTTTTGCGGAGAGGGCGGCCTTAGGGTTCAGGGGTTCAGGATGGTTTAGGATGGTTTAGGGTTTAGGGGTTTAGGGTTTAGAGGTGTAGGATGGTTTAGGGTCTTGGGGTTTAGGATTTAGGGGTTTAGGGTTCAGGGGTTCAGGATGGTTTAGGGTTTAGGGGTTTAGGGTTTAAGGGTTTAGGATGGTTTAGGGTCTTGGGGTTTAGGGGTTTATTGTTACACCTCTCGATTTGTGCTAGGGGTTTTGGGTTTAGGGTTTAGGGGGGTTAGTGTTTAGGGGTTAGGGGGTTTGTTTAGGGTCCACTGTACTGTAGTATACTAGATTATACTGTATCAGATGCTAACTCTCGTGCTGGAATATACTATATCATATACCCTAATGATGAAATATGTAACGCCATGTCTGCTATGTTGTCACCTAAACCATATCACACTACATAGTCACGGAGTCAAGCATGTACCAGGCCGCAGCAGTAGATCGGGCTCGAAACTGTCAGACCGCTGCCCGCCAAAGGCCTCGGACTACAGTACCATCATAGTCTATAGCATACTATAATACATACTCTACTATAGTCTCTACTATGATATAATACCATAATTAGTCTATGACATACTATAATGTATATATATATATCCTCTACTATACTACAGTCTAATGCCCAAAGACATGGCCTCGGACTTGAAGGAGCCCCTGGCCGCATCACCAGCGTCCTCACACTCTCAGAGTCTGCGGTGAACTGTCACGTCTCCTGTATGCTCACGTAAAAGTTGATGGGTCCGGCATAGTCTTCTCATACTATATGATGTCGATAAGGCGCGGTATTATAGCACATGATACTGTTTCTCCTAAACCTAAACATGACATATCGTGGAAGCGCAGAAGCACAAGAGGCCACTCCGCTATCGGGAGTCGAATGAGGCAGAAGCCGTTCTGTGCAACGCAACACCCCCATTGTAAACTACCACGCTACGTATATAGCATAGCGTACCACAGGATATAGTATATTGGACTTAGACATCATGTCGAAAAGGCTCGTGATGTGAAGCCAGGAAGCCTTATACAATCGGCCATACTATTCTACTATATATATCAACATCAGATACTTTCCGTATCATACCATTATGTATAATTGTCAGACATCACTGGCCTTGACCGGGTCGGCTTGCGGCAACGATGGTGCCGACATGGAAATCGCGTTATCGCCTGCTCGCGCACAGGGTGCATTCCTGGCTGCCCAACTTCTCTGAAGCTACATGTTAAGTCCGCGGTGCGAGCATCACTGAAATTATCATTATCTTTGCAACTCCTTGGCTCTACAGCTTCGTCTCATTCGTAGGAGTTCTCAATCCTACGTCCTAAACTCCCAATCATAACTTTTGAACACTGATCTGCTTAGCCCGTGTGCAACCGAAACTGATGTTCAACCTGGTGCGCTCTTTGTCTGAACCCGATAAAACCCTATCAAAACCCCCTTATAAAGCCATCAAAACCCCAAGCCCTAAATCCAAAACCCTATCAAGACCCCTTTTAAAGTCATCAAAACCCCAAGCCCTAAATCCAAAACCCTATCAAAACCCCTTATAAAGCCATCAAAACCCCAAGCCCTAAATCCAAAACCCTATCAAGTCCTAAAGACCCTCCGTAACTCCCCGGCGCCTGATGTCCCTGGGCCCTGGAAGAAGCGCTCCCCTGTCTTCGAGCCCCCAAAAGCGCCCCCCTGGAGGCATGGCGCGGTTAAGCGCTTCCGGGAAGAGCTGGGTAGAGTTTCGGGGTTCAAGAGGTGTGCGGGGCCTATGGGGTTTAGGGCTTAGTGCTTAGGACTTGCGGAGGGTTGAAGGTAGCGTTTGAGCTCGCACACTCGCATGAAGCGCTGCCAGAGAAGAGACCGGACTTAGATGGACAAGGCGCAGAAACGTCCAACGACCCAAGTACAAACGTGTGAGACGTATAGGACCCTACTGTAGGACCACCCAACATGGAAACAGCGCATCCATCTCATCCCACTCCATGGACGGCAGGCAGTCTCCCAAGCCCACAACAGAAACTACACTTCTACCTGCGGGTTCTCGGCCTTCTTCACAACGGATCTTATGCACAGGATCTTGTCGGCTACGATGGCTACGACTGGGGCTCCATTAAGGCTTCGTGGGAGCGTCACGCTGACAGCGCTTCGCGTAGGATTTTGCTCCGCTTGAAAGGCCTTCTCTTAGCGGACACGTCCGATCGAAAACAGCAAACCCGAAGCATACCAGCCTGGGCGATCTTTGCCAGCTGCCGCAGCTTAGCCGAAATCGACTGGCCTTTGGTGTGCTGAAACAAGTCGGCATGACAGAGTGCTTCAAAGTCCTCCCCACACTGCATGACGTTTCGTCACGATGCTAAGCCATAGTATCTGCGAAAATCGGACACATACGGGGACAACAGCAATCATGTCGCGGGCTCCGTCCGAAGCTGGAGCTCCCCGATTGATTTTTGCGTGTTCCCTACTTCTACACCCCTTCTCATGGCTACTGTCTTTGCCACTCGTACTCTCCCTCGTTTGTTATTTCTTTTGTTTATAAACAGTGCTAGTCATGGAGTAAATATTCGTTATTCATCCAGTGTGGAGCGGTACGGTCCAAGCAGCCAATGGAACTCTCCGGATCGTAGCTGCCAGGCGCCGCAGAGCTCTTGCTGACCTGAGTATCCGAAACCCTAAACCTTAAACTGAGGGTTTTAGGCTATCGGGCTTGAGGCCTCGGAGCTTGGTAAGGTGGCAGGCAGGCAGGCAGGCAGGCAGGCAGGCAGGCAAGTAGGTAGGTAGGTAGGCAGGGAGGTAGGTAGGCAGGCAGGCAGGCAGGCAGGCAGGCAGGTAGGTAGGTAGGTAGGTAGGTAAGTAGCCAGGTAGGCCAGGTAGGCCAGCTACACAAGGCAGGTGAGGTAAGGTAGGTAAGGTCGGTCCGTCGGTCGCAGGTAGGGGTAGGTACCTCGATTGCATGCATGGACGGAGACACGGATGTGTGTGAGAGAGTGTGTCTGCAAGGGATGATTGCCCGGCTCTTCAGATCTGCCTCCATCAAGCAGAATCCCTGAAACTACAGCAGGTGGCTAATGTGATTGTGGAGCAGAAGAACTCGATAACAGGTTTAATACTGGGGTTCTAGGAGCGTTCCTTCCCATGGTGCATGGCATGGTATGTCGGAAGATCCGGGCAGCTGGAGGCCAAGGCACTGTGACAGGACGCTGAGGGCTGCGTGAGCCGAATCCTGCCAGAGAGGCTCCGTCCTGGGCTTGACGACTTACGCTGGGCTTCAGATGTTCGGGGTTTGGGATTTAGGGATTTATGGGTTTAGGCATCTATGGGCTTAGGGACTTAAGGGTTTAGGGGTTTATGGCTCGGGATTTCGTTTCCAGTCGCGAGCTTGGAGCCCGAGAGAGATGCAGACTACCTATGACCTCGAGAAGGTGAACCAAGAGGCAGTCTCGCGGAGGGACTTCAGCTGGTACGGATTCTGGACTCCGAAAAACTTCCTCGGAAGCAGCAAAGGAACAGGCTGCGCGAGCACTCAACTCAATCTGATGCACACTCTGTGAGGTGTATGCTTTCACTCTTCCCAGACGTCGGACCTGACCCTGCTGAGGCCAAGGTGCCTGTTCATGAAGTCGGGTACACTCCTGTGAAGAAAGAGGCGACAGAGGTGAAGATTTGATTGGCACTGTCCTATTCCACGTAAGGGCTTCTTTCCAGGATAAGAGCAGCAGAAGCACCGCCACCACAAACACTACAATCGTGCCACGGCCTGCTCCCGCACTAGCAATTGCATCACCACCACCACCACCACCACCGCAACCGCAACCGCAACCGCAACCGCAACCGCAACCGCAACCGCAACCGCAACCGCCACCACCAGCACCACCTCGACTGGCACCAACGTCACCACCACCACCACCACCACCACCACCACCAGCATCACCAGGGTCACCACACCACCAGCACCGGCATCAACACAACCAACAGCACTCGCACCAGCACCGGCACCAGCGCCATCACTACCACCACCACTGCCACAAAGCACAAGCAGCACCACCACCGCCGCCACCACGCCACCACGACGCGACAGAAACAACAAATGACAAAAACAGCTGCTCAAGCAAAAAGATGCCGCATGAGACGAATGATGACATGAAAACCAGGACAACCACGAGAACCACTGCCAACACCGCCACAATGCAAGCACGACCAAGACCGCCACAATACAAGTACAACCAGAAAGTCAGAAAGCAACAAAAGGGAAAGCAGCGAAGACAATGACAACCCGTAAAGCCCCAAAACCTGAAAGCTATGGGAACCCTAACCCTACTGCCCCACAACCTGAAAGCCATATGGGAACCCTGATGCCCTAAAAGCCGTAAAGCCATGCGAACCCTTGCGGCCTTCATAATTAGAATGGGGTTTTGGGTATACTAGACTAAACTCAAAATAAGGAACCCCCAACATAGTATCGGTAATAATTCAGGCCCCTACATTAGTATCAAAAGACCCCAAAACCCTAAACCCTACACCCTAAACCCTAAACCAAACCCTAAACCCTAAACCCTACACCCTAAACCCCAAAACCAAACCCTAAACCCGACATTGAAGCCCTGGAGCGCTGCCTGGCGCGCCGTATCCGATCGTCCGGAAAGTCCGACAGGCTCGGGTAGTGACCGGGTCCAGGGCTCGCCGCGCTTTCCTGAAACTTCTTATGGCAGGGTTCAAGGTTTAGGGCTTCGGGTTTAGGGCTTAGGGCTTAGGTCTTAGGGTGTAGGGTTTAGGGCTTAGGGGTTAGGGTTTAGGGGGGATGAAAGCTAAGGCTTGTGTAAGGCGTCTCGAGTTTAGGGCCTTAGGCTCAGGGCCCTAGGGTTCTAGGATTTCCGGCTTTCGGCACTCACTCTCTCGGCGTTCAGGCTTTAGGCTCGGTTAGGGTATTTCGGGTTTCAGGCTCCGGTTCAGGGTGTGGGCGCTCCACGCGCCTTAGGATTCGAGCGTCTAACGGCGTTTGATTTTTGCAATGAAGATGGGAGGACATAGCTTCCAAACGCCATGATACTGGCATGAACATGCCATGAGTCAAGATGCAGCTCGAAATACGTCTTCCTTCTCCTCCCAACCACTGGGCATGTCCGCAACTCATGGAAGACCCCACCAACCATCCCATGCTCTTGCAAAACTGGTGAGGACATCCCCTCAGGGCTGGGAAAACTTGTTGAAGCTTGTGGGACCGCTCCCCCGACTCTAATCCCGAAGCCCAACGACTGCCCCTTCCTATCCCTCAAAGGAAGACCCTAAACTCGAAACCCTAAACCTCAACCCTGATCCGAACCCTGAGCCCTAAAACGCCCACCCACAAGGCCCCACCAGCGTGAGCTGGGCCCCGGGCTCTGTCCGCGAAGCGCGCCGACACGGAGCGGAAGGCTGGCAGGGGCCTCGGGGTTACGAGGCCTACGGCAGGGTTCCTTTAGGGTTTAGGGCTTGGGGCTTCGGGTTTGTGGTTTAGGGTTTAGGGCTTAGGGCTTAGGGTTTGTGTTTAGGGTTTAGGGTTTAGGGTTTAGGGTTTAGGGTTTAGGGTTTAGGGCTTAGGGCTTAGGGTTTGTGGTTTGTGGTTTAGGTTTAGGGGTTAGGGTTTAGGGCTTAGGGCTTAGGGTTTGTGGTTTAGGGTTCCGTAAGGACCGCTCCGGCTACTACAAGTGCTTTGGGGTTCAGAGTTGAGGCTTGAGGGTCTGGCTTTGGGTTGAGGATTTTGGGGTTACGGGCCGGTTGACAGTCAGGAGTTTGTACAGAGGTCGAAAAACGGACCATGGCCCATGTACCCGGATTTTGGCCATGGTAGCTCTCAGCTTACTTATCATTGCCCAGCGCCTACTGATTTCCTTCTCCAAATCTCGCAAACTCAGACCTTATACACCCTAAACCCTCTTTGAACCCGGGCTCTGATCATCAGCTCCGAACGGTTTATAACGGTTCAGGGAACTCAGAAGGGTTGAAATCTAAGCTTCGAACTCACTGGGAAGGTGACTAGATGCACAAAAAAATTAAAAACCATCCCTGCAAAACCCCAAAAAGCCTGGAATTGTGTATTTCAATTCCAGCCTAGCTTAATTCAAAAGCCCCATATCTACGTCTCTAATAATTGTCCATCTAAGTTTTGTCATGTTCCTCCGAGGTGCCGATCCGGGCTGGACTTTGGCGCAGGCTCGGCGAAGTACCTGAGGAGTCGGCCCCAGCAAACATGGGCGCGCAAGCCGGCAGCCAATGAAGCACGCCCCATGGGCTGCGATACGCTTATGTTCCACCTATAGTCTCCATTGTAGTTCCTTTTTGGGGCTACCTTATAGGATCCTAATTACAAAAATTGGTTAAACCAAAAAAAAAAAGGAACTACAATGGAGACTATAGGCAGGGCTTGTGGCGTTAGGAGTTTTGGGTCTTCTGTCAGAACTTCCGTCCCCCCTCATCGTGAGCTGTAACCTGGCCGAGGGCACGTCGCGGGCCCCGGCAGCATTGCTGGGGAGAAGGACTTCGGGAAGAATGCCGTCGGCACCCTGGCGGAGCTTCTTTGAAGGGTTTAGGGTTTAGGGTTTAGGGTTTAGGGCAGGAAAAGTTTAGGGTTCATCCCGGGTCCGCAGACGATGTGAAGCGAGGAGGGGCCTGAACCAGTAGAACGTTAAGGCTATATGTACAGGAAGGAATCTACAAGTCTTAGTTCCTAGGCTATGCGAAAACGGCTATGCCTTGCAAGACATACTATCAAGCCTAAGGGTATTACCCAAAACACTACAACCACAAAACCTGAATGTCTGAAGCTATATGAGTCGTGAAGCTCTATCGCACTCGTGCCCCAAAACCAAAACCCTCTTGCGGCTGGGCTTTGAGTGTCAGGCAAGACCCTAAACCCATGAACCTCTGTAGCACCCTTTCAGAACTTCTGGGACCAAGCAGCTTGCTGGAAGCGAAGGTCGTGGAGCAGTGCCTTAATCAAACACATGGCTTTTGCATGGCTTTTAATTTCTTGTATAGATATGTGTTGATCCTCTTTTCACGGCTACTGGCCAGGTGAGTTTTTTGAAGGCGGTGACAGGCAGAACACTAAGAGAGTTCGAGGCTTTCTGCCAACATATTCACCTAAGACCCCGACAGAAGTCCCTCAACCCTTGACAGCCACAGCCCTCGCGGATGTTCGCGCCCGTTCAGGTGAAGCACGGCACATCGGAGCCGAACCCTGGCGGTTCCATCGGCGGCCCGCCACCACCAGTGCCTGACACCAGAATCGCGAAGCCTTCGTCCCACGAAGGCACTGGAGCAGAGGCTGAGACCCGGATAGGTTATGCTTGGATCGCATCTTCCGTTTTACAATTGGGTTTTGGGGCCCATTATACTATAATTATAATAGGGCGCCCCCAAAATAATATTGGCAAGCAAGTCCCCCTCAGCCCCAACTGCATTGGTCGCTTCACCCCCGAAGCCCAGGGCCTCCTGGCAGTCGCAGCGGCAAGTCCTGGGATGCAGTGCTGATCATTACCAGAAGTACAAGTGGCATAGTACCAGTGGAGAAGCAATAGTAATATTATAGTAATAGTAGTGTTCTAGCAATACTATAGTAATATCCTTTGAGTATTCTAGTAATATTCGCCATCGTGCTCCCAGGAGCACTACTGGTAGTAGTACCGGCATTAATACACGTAGCAGTACCAGCAGCAGTTGTCGTTGACGTTGCTATCGGGCTCGAGAGACAAGAAGGCGTGCCACTCATGGACGAAATCCGGCTTTATCCAAATCGAAATACCACTCCCCGAGTTCAGGGTTTTTGGCTCTTTACCCCTAAACTCTTTGTGCATCCAGGGCTCTGATGCTAGCCGGGTTACCCTAAACCCTGCAACCCTTTGTCCTCAGTCCCTATGGTTGAGAACAGAACCAAAACACAAAAAGCTCTTTAAATCCACGGAGTTCTTCTAAGGTGACTGGGCTCACGGATGAGTACACTCTTCACGAGAAAAAGGGCTCCTTCCTGCGTTTCAGGGAAACCCAAGCTTTGACTCACGCCTGAGGTGAGCCCGAGAACCGATCCATGGCCTCTACGAGAAGACCCACCAGAGGCCTCAACCCTGAACCACTAATCCCTAAACCCTGAACCCCAACCTTAATCCCTAATCCCTGAACCGTAATTCCCTGAGCCCTAAAAGCCCCACTCCCGAAAGAAAACCCACGGAAGCCAAATGTCCACCTTTACCGGCTCGTGCTCGTAGGTGCCGGGCCCAGGGTTCCGCTTCAAATGCGGGTTTCCTGGGGCGTTCGAGGTTGAGGGCTTAGGGCTTAGGGCTTAGGGATTCGTGTTTAGGGTTTGACGGTTTTTCCCTGTCGCTTGACGGTTTAGGGCGTGAGGTTTCGTGCGTTTGACGGTAGGCGAGGCAGTTTAGACTCGCAACTCGGGAGTTTCAGCACTCACATTCGGACATGCCTAGGCGAGGGTTTTAGGGTTTTGGGTTTTGAGGGTTTCAGCACTCACAACTGGGAAGAAGCCTAGCGAGGTCTCAAAAGGATTAGCCCCAAAAGGGGGTTTGGGCTTCAGTTTGGGGCTTATTCCTCTTTTGGGGTATGAGGCTTTCTCACACCTCGGACACTCTAGGCGAGGCTGTAATAACTAGAATAGGGTTTGGGGATCCTTTTTACTATACTTATAATCAGGAACATATTCTAATTATGAAGGCCCCTACACTAGCGGTTCGAAGGTCTGGATGCCGACTCGCATGTTTGGCCACTTGTCTCCTAGGGACTGCGTGACTGAAGAGAGGAAGGGAAGCCCTAAACCCCAAACCCCAAAACCCTAAACATTAAACCCTAAATCCTAAGCAGCATGCACGGCTGGATGCACGAAGATCACACCCGCACCATCTGGGTTCAGGGTGTGGGCTATAGGATCTAGGATTCAGAGTTAGGATTTGATTTGAGGTCTTCAGAGTGCATCAGAAAGAAGGGCTTACGATGGTTTGGGCTGAAGACTTATACTTGGAGGCCCAGGGGACTTAGTAAGTCGGTTATAAGTAGAGTTATAATTGGGGTAACTCCATTTAGGGGACTTGTAACTCTACTTATAACCTACTTACTAAGTCCCCTGGGCCTCCAAGTAAGCGTGGGTTAACGAACTGGGACATGCCAGAAGGGTTTAACGCTTAGGGCTGAGAGCTTCATAGGGCTCCGGGGCACGCGTTGAAGAGGTGACTGGCGAGGCGAGGATCCACAGAAGCTTCCGGATGCTTAGGGTTTCCGATGTCTTTGCAGGCAAAGCCGGTTCCCTTATAGAGCCCCAAAACAAAAAGAGATCCTTTACGGAAACCCTAACAGAACACCTTAAAGGAACCCTCGACCCCTTGTTTGCCAGGGCACCCCAGGTGGCCTTCCGCTCACCAGGCGCTGCGAAGTGGACCTTCCGCTTGCCGCGGCCGATCTCCAGGCTTTGCATGCCTTGGACGTGGGATACTATTTTGGGGGTTCCCTATATATAATTATACTGTAATATATCCCAAACCCCTATTCCAATTATTAAGGCCCCTACATTGTTGAATCGCCGGCATGCGCAGGAGTTGTGGCTTTTGGGAAATTGTGGGAACGAAGGATCTATGCCGCAGGCGTCCGCCACAGATGACTGGCATGTTGCTTGACGCTCGCGTCGTAGCCCTACTGGTAAAAGCTACTCCAGACTCTGGTAATCTAGCTTCACCTTGGCCCCGAGCCCTCGGTTGATTTGTAAGCTTGTCAATCCTTCCATGCCGGCGAGGACTCCCGACGCCTTCGCTGACGGAAGCCCCGAGAGAGAGATGGGAGAGGCCGGGTCTCTTGCATTCACGGGCGAGTGGCACGAGATTGTAAAGTTTTTAAAGCGAGAGCCTTGAGCCGTAGCACCCTTCGTGCAAGAGCCCGGCAAGCGAGGCAAAAAAGTTGCAGTTGGCGCCACATTCGCGGCTCCTCCACGCGTGCCCGCTTGAGTGGCGTCACAGCATCTTCTACGATCACCTTTCGCTGAGGACGGACACTGTGACAAAAGATCTTCTCGGCGCTGGCCAGAGCAAAACATATCCAGGCAGTCTGCTGCAGAGGTGTGCAGCACACGGAGAGCAGGAACTGCAAACTGCAAACCCAGATCCAAGCCGATTAAGCATACATAGTTTCAACGCGATTGTTCCTGAAAATTATTAGTCTGACGACCGCCGAGAAGTTCCTTGCAGCGAATTCTAGATCTGAGCACGCGGATGGAAGGCCAGTGTAGGCTTGCTATCCCTAGAGAACCGTCAGGTCACGAACATGACACATTCACTCCCTCACGGCAACACCCTGTGATGCGAAACTCGTCAGCCTGCTTGATGAACCCAGTGCAGCTGCTGGTCGTAGCCCTAAAAGCTACTCCCGACTCTAGTACTCTAGCTTCACCTTGGCCCCGAGCCCTCGGTTGCTTTGTAAGCTTGTCAATCCTTCCATGCCGGCGAGGACTCCCGACGCCTTCGCTGACGGAAGCCCCGAGAGAGAGATGGGAGAGGCCGGGTCTCTTGCATTCACGGGCGACTGGCACGGGATTGTAAAGTTTTGAAGGCGAGATCCTTGAGCCGTAGCACCCTTCGTGCAAGAGCCCGGCAAGCGAGGCAAAAAAGTTGCAGTTGGCGCCGCATTCGCGGCTCCTGCACGCGTGCCCGCTTGAGTGGCGTCACAGCATCTTCTACGATCACCTTTCGCTGAGGACGGACACTGTGACAAAAAGATCTTCTCGGCGCTGGCCAGAGCTAGCCAAGACAAAACTTCTCCCGGCAGTCTACTAAGCCTTGGTACATTTTTAAGCCTATATACCTGTGTGTCTCAGCACCCGCATCTTTTGAACATTACATCGGGAGTTCGTGCAGCGAATTCTGTATCTGTGCATGCAGATGGAATGCCAGTAATTACAGATGAGCTATACCGAGCGAATCGTCGTACCCCAATCCCTTGTCTGCATAATTCTGCATACTTGGCATTCCGACGGACACTGTCTGGGGTGTTGGTGGAGCCAGAAACCTCCTCGTTTTCAGCTAGGCATCCCGGGTATGACCCCCAGAACTTGCCCCTTGGTATGCTCCTGGCTAAGGTTGCGCATCAAGGAAGGAGCAGCATGGAATCGCCCTTCGTCTTCCATAACCACCGAGGGCTCAGAGCCAATGCTGATCCGCTTCCTAAGCTGAACATGGGTTAGTTATATTATATTGGGAACCAATACCCCAAAAAAAGTAAAAAAGGATACTACTACTGAACATCCTAGCTTCTGACTCAGAGAATCCTTGGACTTCTCACGCTCGAGGAAGGGCGCCAGAGCCTGGGCGGAGCAGTCCCTCAAGCTTTCCGCAAGATCGGAGTGTCGGCGCAGGAGGACCGTGGCTAAGGTGGCGAGACCAAAGGCCGTGAGAAGTGGAAGGAGCAAGAATTCTTGTGTGAGGATCCCGATGAGACAGATCAGCCACCACACGCCATCTGCATCGCTGGAATTCGCCAGGAAGAGGACGATGATCAACAGTGAGGCCAGGTTGCCGAGAACGAGCAAGGCCCAACGGAGCCAAGCACATCGGGGCTTCGTAGCCAATGGAGCCATGGACAAAGGCGCACAGCAAAGGATCCCCATAGCATGGCACAGCAGCGACACGGGGAGCGCCAGCGTGTCGTCCCCTCCACGCACCCGGCAAAGCTGGTGTGTTGCCGACCGTGCGAAAGCTCCGAAGATGGCCTGGCGCAGCAGTGCCCCAAATGTCGCTGCGAGAACAAGGCGCAGAAGAAGGCGAGCAGCTCTCTCCAAATGTGACGAGAAGAAGCTGAAGTACAACACCCCCTTCCATGGCTGCATGGCTGGCCAAAGCATTTGGAACCGCCCCCAGATCCCAGCATCACTCAGGAAGGACTCCATGGCATAGACAGCCTGGCCGTAGACGTTGGCAGCCAAGGCCGCCTCGTCCCGCGCTTCCGCCCAGGTGCCGCGAGCAGCCACCGAGGCTCGGCGCCCCTCCTCGAGCACCGCAAGGGATGCCATGCACAGCCCGGCACCGTCAGAGCGTACCAACAGGATGCACCGCAGCACCACGCCGCGATGGAACGGCTCTCCATCACACGTCCTGCGCCGCCGTGGCGGTGCAGCGCGGCGCAGGGCTTCGAATGCAGGGGGCACAGGTGCGGTGCAGACTGCGGCCAACAAGAGGCAAAGCAAAGAGACGGAAAGCAGTATCCAGAGTACCGTGGCCGGAGCTTGTACGGCCCACCCTTGCTCACCAGCCAAACCGTGTAGAGACAGCACATCCTGCGAGAAGCAGCCTGCAGCTGCGAATGCCAACCAGGAAGGTGCCGTGGTCGTGGTAGAACTGGTAGCATCGACGTTACCAGAGCCACTGTCATTGGATCCATCCAAGGACGTGGAGCTGCTCTGACCTCCATGTCCGTCGCTCGTGGAGTCGTTTGCTGAAGCGTTTGGGCCGTCAGTGTTCGGAGACGAACTCAAGTCAGTAGAAGTTGAGCTCAGCAGGGGTGCTGTGATGCTTGAGGTAGTCGTGGCAGAGACCGAGGAGGACGACGAGGAGGAGGACGAGGAGGAGGTGGAAGAGGAGGAGGTGGAGGAGGAGGAGGTGGAGGAGGAGGAGGAGGAGGTGGAGGAGGAGCTTGTGCTCGTGGTCTCGGTGGTGGAAGTTTGCGTGGAGGAAGTGGTCGAGGAAGTGTCGCTTACGGAGGTCGTGCTCGTAGAGGTGGAAGAGCTGGTACGGCTGGAGCTGCTGGTACTGGAACTGGAACTTGTCCAAGAGCTGGAGGTACTGACCGTTGAGCTGGAGCTCGTGATGGTACTGGTCGATGAAGTGGAAGTTGTTGTCGTAACGGTGCTCGAGGTGGTGACAGTGGAGCTCAAGCTTGTACTCGTCGATGAACGCGAAGTTGTCGTTGTCGTCGTAGAGCTGGAGGTCGTGACACTGGCAGTGGTGGAGCTGGAGGTCGTGTCCGTCGAACTGGACGACGAAATAGTGCTGCTGGTTCTCGTTTCCGTGGTGCTTGTAGTCTCTGTGGCGGACGTGGTGCTGCTTGTTTCAGAGGTGCTTGTGGTTTCTGTGGCCGAAGTTGTGCTACTTGTTTCCGTGGTGCTTGTGGTCGCCGTGGTAGAAGTGGTGCTACTTGTCTCCGAACAAGTTGTGCTGCTGGAGGTGGAACTCAGCGTGGTGCTTATTGTCGTGCTGCTTGTCTCGGTTGTCTGCGTGATCGTTGAAGTGGTCTCCGTCGTCAGGGTCGCCGTGGTCACCGTGTTCGTGCTTGTCGATTGGGTGCTCGAGGTGACGGTATAGGATGTGCTCGTGGCCGTGGTGACCGTGGCCGTGCTGGTCGTGGCCGTGCTGCTCGTGTCCGTGGTGGTCGTCGTCAGCAAGTTGCAGACGACCTGCGTCCCGAAGTTGCACCCGAAGAAAAAGACGTTGGAGTTCCACCACATGGTTGAGGCAGTAGTTTTGGTCCAGCACTTCGTAGGCGTGCCGCTCGCTCCCGATGAGACCCCGCCATATGTATATCCAAGCGTTGCAGCTGCCGCACTGCAATCGCTTTCGGAGGCCAGAGCCTCGTGCGTACCTCCGCAGAAACAGCCATTGATGATGTCTTGAGCCTGCCCACCCACAATCAGCACCGAGACCAGCAGCCACATGGGAATGCTTTGATGGTACTGCTACGGGCTGTGCCCAACTTCTAGCGGACGCTGCACCCAAACTGATCACTGGTCCTAGCACCGACTAGTTGAAGATCACTTTCTGCTGACAACTACGGATCTGCACAGGGGCATGAACCGCTAAAGCACTATGAAACCCACATGCAGCCGGTGGCTCATGTACTGAAGCCATCTGAAACCCCCTTGCACAGGAAGTCCGCGCAGAAGAAGGACCTAGGGAAACTCGTCGGCCAGCAGGTCCGTCGCTGTTGCAAATGCTTGAGCCACAACCATTCAAAGAGATTCGCCTGCGATGCTTGACATGTGGGGGTTTCCGAAAATAGGGGACCCTAATATGGTACCCTAAATAATAGGATCCTTATTATAACGACCACAAAATAAGGTACCCCTTATTTTCGGAAACTCCCATGTGGAAGGCGCGACTTTGGAACGAAGGCGGCGCCTGTCTTCTTCTGTTGAGAACCAACATATGGGTAGTTTTCTAAATTAGGGTCCCTTTTGGGGTCCTTATTATAAGGCTGCCGTACTATATTGGGGACCTAAAAGGGGCCCTAATTTAGAGAACTACCCATATGCGGAAAAGGCAGATGCATCACAAAAAGAATCATCATGCGGAATCCCCAGCGGAGACACTTCCCAGAGCCTTGGTTCACGTATTCCTTGCCGCCTTGAACCCAGAGACTCCAATATTCCTTAATTAAGGAATATTCCTTACATTATGGTAGGATCCTTCATATGATTTAAGGTATATTCCTTAACTAAGGGATGTTGGAGTCCTCTGGGAACACCCCAGGCCTTAGAGTTAACACTGCGAAGCGACTGTATGGGTCCGGCGTGTCCCCAGGCTCTCCAGTGAAATTCCAGTCAGAGCGATCCTTGGCACGACAAGCTGCAGGACGGTTTAGGGTTTAGGGTTTAGGGTCATCTTAGGTAAGGGCCTATGTAATTGCCAATACTATTTTGGGGGTTCCTTATTATAATTATAGTATAGTGGGCCCTAAAACCCTATTCTACTATATTGGGGGTTCCTTATTATAATTATAGTATATTGGGCCCCCAAACCCCATTCTAATTATTAAGGCCCCTATATTCGGCTCGAGGGTCGAGACTCTCGCAACTCGGACTCTGCTGGCGAAGTTGGTTCGGGTCGGAAGGAAAGCTCATTTGGCCCTGCAAATGCTGAGGTGTTCCTAGGACCACCCGTGCCGTTCGGAACTGTCAAGACCCTGTTTTGCCCGTAGCCTGCACCTCAAAGAAAACCAAGCCTTGGCCAAGCCCTGTGGAGCCTGTGGGAGTCCTGGCTGGTGAAAGTTCAGCTCCTATGAAGTGTTTGACCCACTACCTACATCTAGAGGTTCGATGGCACTCACAACACGTCAACAACGATCATGAAAAGCCCAAAAGTTCCTACACTCCAGTCACTCCAAAGAGGGTTTGTCCCTTGGCGGGTCGACGTCGGCTACAATAGCCAGTCCGGTCGACTACCGCTGCATTTTTATCCCTTTTGCATGGATGAGGTCAATGCTCACAAGCGAGGCAGCTTTGGCGTACTGCTGCAATTAAGAGGGTAGGATCAAGAATCATGTGCATTGGGGCATGGATATTCCTGAGCCACCCTCCAGTTTTCAGCTGCCCAGATGCACGAAGGGGCTTGATCGCTGGCTCCGTCCTCTGTGCTAACCAGGGGTTTAGGGAGAAACCAACATGTTAAAAGTCAGGGCCTCACAGGTGCTATGCCTTAGGGTTGATGGCTGATGATTGGAGCAGGGCATCGCCAGAATTTTCAATGACGGCCCTGGCTGCGTGCGCCGCAAGATTTTGCTCTCCCTCTTTATGACCTGCGCCTTTCGCCGAACCTGAACACACAACCTCATGTAATATAGGGGCCTTAATACTTAGAATAGGGTTTTGGAGTATATTATACTATAACTATTATAAGGAACCCCCAAACCCCTATTCTAAATATCAAGGCCCCTATATTATCTCACCGAGGGCGCGGCTGTGTGTGTAGCCTCGTTCCTTCCTTCATGGCCTGGCGAAGTTAGGCTTGGGCTTCAGGTAGTGGCGTAGATTCATTCCACTGAAAACTTCGGTTCGCTCCATATAGAACCAGATACACTACAACATACCATAAGATCCTGTAATGTACGATAGTATACTATAAAATACCATAGTGTGCTATAACTTACTGATTATAACATAATACGCTTAGCGAGAAAGGCTTCTCTGGACTACCCTGGCCTGGAAGACTCTGCACTACACACCTTGCAAGCATGTGGGTAGTTCTCTAAATTAGGGTCCCTTTTTGGCCCCCAATATAGTACGGCACCCTTGTAAAAAGGACCCTAAACCCTAAACCTTAGAAGGAGCCCTAATATTGAAGACTACCCATGTCCCTTGTACACTTGCGTCTATGCGAAAGAAGCAGGAGCCGAGGCGCCCCACGAACCCTGAACCATACTGTGGCTAGAGTCTACTATGCTATGGTATACTATACCATAGCATACTAAAGTATATTATAGTATATGTATATATATATATAGCAAGTTATATCACATGTAATATATATTACAGTATATTATAATACACTGTAGTAACTGTATGTAGTCTATTATAACCCTAGCCCTAGCTCTTGGGGGACCCAGCACAGCCTGCACGGCCCGCTCCGCACCCCAGTCGACTTTTCCAGGCCGGCTGCGCTCGTAGACGCCCCCTTCGGGGGGTTTAGGGTTTTGACACTCACACTCGGACAAGCCTGGCAAGGTCCTTTTTTGACACTCACACTCGGACAGGCCTGGTTTAGGGTTTAGGTGTGTTTCTGTGCTGGCTCCCGCCGGGTTTCGGGTTTCGGGTGTGGGGGCTCAGGGTATAAGGGGGGTTGCGGGGTGGTTTGCTCACGCCTGGCTAAGACGAAGGCAAGTTTTGAGGGCAACCTATAACCGCTGTAACCTTCAAGGGCGGGCAGCGGATGGAAAGCCGGGCCAATTCCGACTCATGCAATGCAAAAAGAAACCCAACACTCGACCTTGATCTCACTGCTCAACTGCACATGCTGATATTTCTCAATTATTTATTCCATGCTGTGAGAAGACTAAGACAATACCAACATCTGGATCACTTCAGCACCCCTGATGAATCAAAATCTGAACCATCGAGCCTGTCTTTGGTCTCCGGTCCACGGCATCCCTTGGGTTCGACTGTCCAGGGCCCGGGTTGTCCAGGATACTGGAAGCCACAAACCAGTTGGAGCCTGCGGCGAGGAGGTGCCGATGGACCTAGCTAAGCCCACAACCTTCCACCGGCAGTCCTACAATTCTCCGGTCTTTTGCAGCCAGGTCTCTGACGATAGCCGGTTTGAGAAGGAAAAACCGGCCAAAGCCCGACCAAAAAAAAAAAAACAAGCTGAAAAAAGCACCGAAAACCCAAAACTTGAAAATCAAGCCATACTGGTAACTCTTACAGGAGCCCTACAGCCCTACAGTAGACCCCCTGCGGCCCAAAGCCCAAGGGGCCAGGAACAAAGGTCGGCTCCCGGAAATTCTCCGGGTCGCAGCGCGATGTGGTGGAGTTGAACGAGCTGCAGCTGGCCTTGGCGGCTTCGGTTCTTCTTGTCTTGTCTTGCGGTCATCTAGGGGCCTTAACAATTAGAATAGGGTTTTGAGGTATATTCTACTATAACTATAATAAGGGACCCCCAAAATAGTATAGGTAATTATTAACGCCCCTACATGATGTTATTTTAGGGTGACATAGGGTGTAAGGATTTATGCTACGCTCTAGCAGCTCTAGTCTTGGATTTTTTCTATGCACTGTAGCACATTGGGCCATTGCATTATCTGTGCTGTGCTAGGCTGTGTTGTTACGATGCTCTGCCATGAAAGGAAAACCTTGGCCCAGCTGGAGATCACGAGAGCTCTCAGCAGACAAAGGCAAAGAGAAGAGGGAGTCTGCAGTCTTACCTATATTTGTTTGGGGGGGCCTTATTATAGTTATAGTATAATATACCCCAAATTCAAAGCCCTATTCTAATTCTTAAGGCCCCTACATTACCTATGTCATTCAAGATTTCACCACTCTGCTACAGTGCCCGTCCGCTGTTCTGCTCACGGATGTCTAGAAACACAAGCAGACTATCCGTCTGGCTTGTTTGAAGGAACCACCTGTCCGCAAAGGCCTTCCTGTGAAGATGTCAAAATCCGTGGTACGGCCCGTTTTTGTCTTTTCAGTACATCGAGGTTCTACAAGAACAAGAAACCGCTGCTCCCCTCCCTTCCGTAAGCGCTTGGGCCCTTCGTGCCACCCTACAAAGCCCCATGCAGGAACCCTGGCTTTGAACAGGCCACCGTCAGCGACTGCGCTGGTCGGTCGGGGACCGGATCCGTCGCAAGCCGCCGCACGGCGTACTGCCCGGGCCCTGTCCGGAACGGCGTGCTGATCAGACTTGAAAGGGTTTTAGGATGTTTTTTTCCCACCGCCTAGCTGACTGCGTCGCACTGCAGGGAACTAAACTACGATACAGGAAAAAAAGGTGCACATCCACGGAGTCGCGGAACAAAATGTTACAAGCGCGCTCTGGTGGGGAGCTGTATGGGATTTAGGGTTTTAGGGTTAAGGTTCAGTATTTAGGGTTTAGGCTCGAGGCTTTTTTTTTGGGGGGGCGGGTTCTTTTCCTGCTCGCCTAAGGTCGGTAGGAATGCCATGTTGGGGTTTAAGGTTTAGGGAAGGTGAGGGCTTCGCTGCTTTTGGGGGGTTTGGGGCGCTTGGGTTGCTGAGGCGGTATTGGGCCGGACCCCCGGGCTGGCGAGGATGTGGCATGGAGGACAGCTCAAGGGTGTAATGTAGGGGCCTTAATAATTGGGCATATTAGACTTTAATTCTAATAAGGAACCCCCAGCATAGTGTAGGTAAGTGTTTAGGCCCCTGTAGTACGGTTTAGGGCGACGACAACATTGGCAGCTTATCAACCCGAATCTCCAAAAAATTGCTGGTGGCAAACGTCCAGGCAACCCTCAACCTCAAAACCCCTAAAGGACCCAGCCACCCAAACCCCAGATCCTGAAACACTGTACTGTAGGGGCCTAAATTATTACCAATACTATTTTGGGGGGCTCCGTATTGTAATTATAGTATAATGGGCCCCAAAGCCCTATTCTAATTATTAAGGTCCCTATATTACCCTAAACCCTTTTGCTGCAGGCTTGCAAGCAAGAACGCCTGGTAGTTATATTACCCTAAACCCTAAACCCTGAACCCCAAGCCCTCCAAGCAGAGCTCTCAGGCCCTAGAACCCGGCGACCCGAGACAAAGCCGAAAGTACAAAACGCTGTAATTAAACCCCTACATTAAACCGAACACCAAGACCCAACCCCCAAAGCCCGCAAGTGTAAACCCTGAACCCAAAACAAAAACTCCTCCGAAAAAGGCGCCCGACAGCCTGGCAAATCTGACGCGTCTCGGCTAGGGTTGGGCCTCCAACACGCTTGCTTTGAGAAGCGAGGGCGGCTGCTGCTTTCAGAATTTCGGGCTGTGGGTTTTACAGGAAGAACTTGCATGTGCTTTGGAAATGGTGGCTCGGTGCATTGTAGGCGTTTTCACAATCTTGCAGTTTTTTGTGCAGGTTTGGCAAACGTTCATGTGCTTATTGGCCTTTAGGGTATCAGACCATGAGCAAGGCAAGATAATCTCAACTGCCCATGCTTGAACCGCTTGGAGCCCTGAGGGGCGCTGGGGATCTGCACAAACCTAACCCTCAAGCGCTTAACCTTGTAACTAGACCCTAAACCCTGGACCCTAAACCCTAGATCTTAAACCTGGATCTCAGGGAATCCGACAAGGCTTCTGCGACTGCCCAGGTTTGCAGCATGAGGGGCACCGGCGAACTAGGGGAAGTCGTGACCCTGAACCCTTTCGGCCTTACCTAGTGGCTGAAACACGCAGTAGGTTTCGAAGCATGGATCCTGGTGCTTCAGGATTGAATACTAGGAATAGTCATCACAACAACAGCAACAAAAGTCATAGTAGTCATAGAAATTAATAGTACCGGCGTAGACCTTTGGCCTCTTGAATCCTTTTTTGGCACAGCTTCCTTCCGGCCTGTCACCGATGCCTAGAGTGCATGTCTTCGCCGCCGGCAAGCGTGGATCGTAGGTGCCAGGACCCACGTTCCTTGGCTTTACTGATCGCTGGTCGAATTCCAAACTCAGGCTCTCGTTTGAGACATCCATGCCAGCGCGAGTTTTCATTTCCATAGCCATGTACCATGATGTGCCAAAAAGAAATTGCATGGAGGCGCCCTAGCTTGGAATGGGCCGGAGCTCGGCGAGCCAATGACGAAGCACTCGCTGATGACATCGCACTCGCGGTGCCAGGAGGCGATGAGCGCCATGAAACCCCAAGGCCCTTAGAATGCTGCTAAGTCCTTGCTGGAGCCCTGCACCCGAGCCAACGATGTGCATGAGGTTTGGTGTTCATGCTCATGCGGTATGCACGAAGTATGCTTTCTCTAAGCTTTCCAGAGGCTGAATGCGGGGATTCTGTCCGTGGGCTTGAGATCAGGCCGTGATACCTACCTTCCCTCCATGGCGGGGCCCGCTTTCAGCTCCGCACCCCTTGATCACCCAGCTGCAGGCAGTAAGATGCAGAAGACATGGGGCTCAAGAGAAGGACTGGACCGGAGCAGCCTCTTCGCGATGTATCGGGCATGTCGCGGGGCGTGGGCTCAAACAATCCAGCATGCAGATGTACCGCGACTTGCTAGCACGGAGTATGCCGGTGGGAATACACAGCGACAGAGGATAAGCCAAGGGGCTCCAAGAGCACGACAAGGCTTCGTCGAACTGCGATATGATGGGAAACAATCATCGCAAAGCTCACATGACAGAATTCGATGAGTCTTCGGGACGAGGCCCTTAGAATACTGCGGCTGCAAACGGATCTGAGGTCTGCAGCACCCCACATTACGAGCACACGACAGCTCGCCAGATACAGAACTGGCAGAGCTCGGAGGGGGTGAGCCTCTCAGCTCGCCCTCGCGCCCCACCCTTCTGAAAGCTGCGAAGAGGAAGACTTCCCTGGACCCTCTCACATCGGCCAGAGCTGTTGCCACGTCTGATGCTCTGGTCGGAGTCTGCACACGGGGCATTCGACCCGGCGCTTGCAACTCGGGTGAAACGACTCGTGGTATTCCCACTGGCTACGGAAAACATCCAGACAGCGCTACGATTCCTAATTGAAGCATCCATCACGGGACTTCTGAACTCAGAAGCAGCACCAAAGGCTATGATGGGTGGGTGTGGATTGGGGCGGCGTGCAGCCCGGAGTGTCATGCTCGGACTAGGTTGATGCATGTTACGGTGCTTGCATCACCGAAAACGAAAACCCTGCAGATTTTCCCACTCTCTCAGTCGGGAAGCACCGCTTCGGCAGCCTTAGATTTCAATGCAGGGACGGCGAGCAGCGAGCTAGCCGACTGACCGACTGACTGACTGAAGCTTAGGGTTTAGGGACTGGGGGATTGAGGGGCGAAGAGAGCCGTGCTCTGCCTCTGGATGATGTTGGCCATGCTCTTCTACTAGCACATGCCCTGGAACCCTATGAGTCCACATCCGGGCTCGAAAGAAAACTTGCAACAAGAGCCACCTTGTTGTGAATCCTTTGCGGAAGCCCAGCCCTGCAACCCAGCCTTGCATTGCTCTAAGCCCTAGACTCGACCCCAAAAGATGGAACTCTGCATGCGTTACGGACCTACAGCCAAGCCGAGATCGTCCAAGCTCCAGGCAGGCCGCCTAGCCCGACCTCTGCTCGAAGCAGACGAAGCTTCGGCGGCTGGTTCAACATTGCTTTGTGCGAAACCGTCACTTCACATAGATAGGGTTTGTACTGCTCTTGTTTAGGCACACGAACCTTTAGCTCTGAGGCCCAGTGGGGCCAAGATTTCTGGGGGCAGGACCGTGCATTGCTGCTGCCGATGCTGTTATCGAACACGGTGAACTGGGTGTGGGCTCCTGCCAGGGTCCAGGAGCTGCTGCATGTTGCCACTTGGGCAGACATCACTAGCCCCAGTGCAAATGGCGCGCTCACCGCTTCTGAACGGTCCAACCCGGCCCCAAGCAGCAAACTGTTTTTGCCAAAAGGTGCGCCTGGACCTGGAGTGAACCAGGGATCGAACTTCGGATAGCCTTGGCTCCATCAGCTGAACGTGCCCTGGATCTCTCAAAACTCACGGGGGCGATGTCAGAAAGCAGGCGGCTCCAGCGAAACGCCCTCTCTTCGCTCTGCCGAAGCGCGGAAGGAGTTCCTCTTTGGCTTGACCTCGGCCTGCAGAACGGCTCAGGAAGACAGGAAACGAGGGAACCGGCAGGCTCTCGACGGAAGTTCCTTAGGGCTAGTAGGAGCTGTTTCCGTACTCAGTGTCTCCCATGTCTCAACAGCAGGCAGGCAAGGCTCCTTGGGGCTACGGCCCTCGAATCGCAAGCCGGTCCGACGATGCAGCCGAGACCATCTAAGCAAAGATGGCTACGCGAAGACACACTGCGAACGGAGGTGCCCGGAGCGATTGACCCATCATGACCCCAGAGCCTGTGTCAAAGCTGGCTCCCACGTCGCTCTGCTGAAGGAGTAGTCCGGTCTGGCGTCCTTGCAGGGCGACCCCGGTGGGCTCTTCCGAGCTCAAAGATTCCGGAAGTTGGGCTGCAGCTAGGGACCTGCCATGAATGCACTCGATCTACATCCATCCATCCATCCATCCATCCATCCATCTATCCGTCCATCGATCTATCCATCCATCCAATCTTCTCTTATCTCATCTTATCTCATTTTATCTATCTATCTATGTATCTATACACACA